CAAAGTGAAGTTTTAAGGCCACAGTACCTGAAGACAGAACTCCTGTTTTCCTTTGGCTAACCAGGCCAAAGCACTAGCTTTAGTGGCACAAGCCACTAAGAAGACACTAAGGAGGCAGCAGGAACCAACTTTAGGCTTCACTGACCTAAGAGAAGAGGCTCTTCTGCCCTTCTCAATGTTAAGAGATAAGCAACAAGCAACCCAACTATTTCCATGGGAATACACTGTCAACCACCACTACAGAAAAGTAGCCAAATGTATCTTTTTCTCTCCCAATCCAACATTTTTGTGGAGTAAGAGAGTTTCTCAAATGTGTGATCAGTGAGGATCTATTTGCTCACGTAATATTTTTGCATTTTTTTATATATGGCAGAGAAAAAGATGGACATTATATAGAAAGCCTTTGGCCATTTGAACTATGAACTTTTATTTCACTATGTGATTTTTTTTAATTCTATTTTTAACTGCATGGTTTGCCTGGTGTACAATTTATCAGTGCAATTTAAAGCTGGAATATTGTGGTGGATTCCTTTGATCCAGATGAGAGTTCTGTTTGYAGTATATAGCCGCACTTGCAGGAAAGCACAGAGGAGTGAATCACTGCTCTTCTTGTTGAGGTCAGACATTTTGTCTGGAAATGAACTTAATCCAGACTTGAAAGGCTTTTCTGCAGTGATTTCTGTGCAACAACATAAACAAGGTATGAGCAGTTATCACCTCCTTTGAAGAAACTCATACCTTTCCCAGTAGAAAATTAGAAAAAAAAAAAGAAAGAAAGAAAAAAAAGACATTTTTGTTTACAATTGAGCTTATCTAGGCTTCCTGGGAGATCTGGGAGATTCTGATCCAACCACCTACTACAGCTGGAATTTAAAACTGGAATTTGGGCACCTTCATTCTATTGAATTAGTATGGAAAATAGTGTACTGAATTTTTTTCAGAAARAAAATCAAAAATGCTGGTCATTCAAACCTCCAACTACATTCCCCAAACTACTACTTCTTATGAGGCAGCAAGTAAGTGTATTTTAGCACACGTTGAGTTAATTACATGCTTCTACTTTAATTTTAGAACTTTAATTTACATTGGGATTTCCTTTCCTGATGCTGAGTAGGAAGGATGAGGAAAATGTGTTTTACTGAATGCCATATTATTTTTAATCTTGGAGGAAAAAAATAACATTTGTGTGAGGCATTCAGTTTAAGTGACAACAAGAGGTACTCAGCCTCACTTAAAGTTTTAACTTTATTCTATGTAAAAAAATCCTTGAAATCRCATAAATAAGAACTATAAGAGACAACAGAGTGTTTTCTCTGTTAGTACAAACTTGATTTTGTCTTTCATTATGCATTTTGTATCTTTAAGATAAAACATGGAATAGTTTGCAATGTAAACTCTTACATGAAAAGAGGTATCTGCTCTCAACTTCCGTGTTTTATTTGTGATTTCTACTTTCAAAGTTTTATTGTGATAACTGTTGTACACATTGCTTCCGAATTAAGTGTAACTTAATACACTGCAACTGAAAGGCAAGCACTATATCTTACAGAACTTGCCTAGCTCTGTAAAAGAAAGGACAAAACATAGCTATGAATCACACTGAAAAGAATAGCCACTTTCAAAGCCATTTTGGCACAGGTTTAGACTAAGGAAAACCAAGCTGAGACACTCATGTATCATCTTTTGTATCATCTGTCTAATATATTACTATATCTAAATGCAAAACTGCAATATCCTAATTTCTGAATTTCTCAGAGTATATTTTGTTTATTTAAAAAAAAAAAAAAGAAATTTACTGTGGTAACTTTTAAAATGCAGAAAATAATGTTCAGATTTTAATTCACCTCATGCACCTAATGAGTAGCTCTCACTGAGGTTGCTGTTCTCTCTGTTCATCCTGAACTTGTCCTAGTTAGCAGGAAAATTTTCACTGGCTTCAATAAAAGGAAAAGCAGACCTGATGGGGCAGTTTTTCAAAGCTACTTAGATATTGAAAGATGTAAAGAGATAATTAACAATATTCACTAAAATACCTGCAAGCTCATGACAAAATTCCCATTGATTCACTGAGTATAAATTAAACTAAAATATACAGTCCTGAGATGTGCCTTGGGATGGTTTTAATAAAATGATCTTCTGATATTGTAATCTTGACTCATGATTTATTTTACGTGTAATGGAACAGTTTTGAAAATCTTTCTCATGCTGAAAATCATTATGGTGGTGATTATGAATTACCAAGTCTATCCACTTTGTGCATGATATGCCTAAAGATGTTGTCAGAGCAGTACCAGTCACAGATGACAAAGTTACACCTGACCTAAATTTGAAAGATCCATTGCCCATGGTTTGCATAATTTTTACCAGCCAGAGGGATGGAATCCGGTGGCAGTAAAGAAGATAAAAAATATTTCAAAGATAAAAAAAATAAAAAAATATATTAAAAGAAAAAAAAATCCAGATACACTAACAGCAGCTTGCATAATCTTATGTAATAAATTACATACAATTCAGTAAGGACTTTATTTCACTACTTAATTGGCAAAGACCACTTATGGGCACCAGTCTATTATAGTTACAGATGTTTTTTTCATGTTGCWATATAGATTATTTCATGTTAGCTGCTTCTTCATTTAAGCAGTTAATTTGCCAAGATAGTTACTATGGTGTATTTAATATTATATTTAATATTCTTTTAACATTCACACACATTTCTGGGGAAATATATTTTCTTTTACTTCTCCACAGTTAAGGAGATATTCTAATCCCTGGGAAAAAAAAGAGAGAGAGAGAGAGAGAGAGAAACAGAGACCAGCAAATTTGCCATTATTGATGGCTCATCATAACCAGTAATTATGTTGAAGAGCTGCTGCAGATGAAGTATTTGTAGCCAGAGACTGTTTAGATGCTTCGTCCTACAGACCTACTTAGTGCAGTATTGCAGAGTAATTCTGCTTACGGTGCATTGTCTGGATTTCTGTATATCCTAATGCTATTTCTACGATTTCCACTTCAGATGCTTAAGTGGTAGCAAACATTCCTACCAAACTGTAGAAAATACAGTACGGTTGTGCTAGCAAAAAAATGTTAGCAAAAACACAGCAATGCAGTTGCAGTCATTTCCAGATGGTTAGTATCAGCCTAGGAGTTTTTCCGACTTAGCAGGTAACTCTTCAAGTAATAAGCACTTCAAGAGAAAAATTAACGCAATTTCTAATAAAAAACAATGCTGCATTTAGCAAAATGCTGCTTTGTGACAGATCACAGAATTGGAAATGCAGAAAATGCCAAACTGGAAACTGAAAAGACTTTAAATCTCCAAGYCTGAGAATGCCACAGGGTTAATCCAGTTTTCTCAAGGACACTTATGGCTTGAGAGCAGAATCAGCTGGTACTGCCAGGCTCACCCTGCTGCAAAACCTAATCTGGAAAAGTCTGAACCTCTTAAAACCTCTCCCCTAGTTTACACTGTACTCATGCAGCTTAGAAGTGACTTTGGTGCCTTGATTTTGCAAATACTCCCAAATAAAATGAGGAAAAAAGAATGAATGCACCAGGTAAATTGGGAATTGGATCAGGAGTGGTTCAGAAGAGTGATAGATGTGGGAGACACTGAAACAGGTGATGTGAAAAGGTAGCAAAAAAAGAGGAAGGGAAAAGGGCTGGCTACTCTGGTGGCTGGAGARGGGGACAGCAGGAGATAACTGGAAGTGGGAAAGGAAAAAAAGAAAAAAAAAAGAAATAGCTCAGACTGGCTTTAGGGTGAGCTTTGAGAGCACAGTATTTTGGTGGTGATGGTTTCTCCTCAGTGTGTCAATASGTCTCTTGGATAAATATGCGTTCATACATTCATTTTCTGTCTATGATTTAGCTTTCAGCCTGATTTTCAAAAGATCACACGGACGTACAGAGAGCCGGGAAAGAGCCTTAAACTGATTTTTATTTATTTAAGTTAGACGAGCAGTTATCTCCCACCTTTAGAGACTGTTTAGACTCCCCACAAGAAYCTCCAAAAATCTGGGAGCTCCTTACGGTTCCTAAAGGGCCCAGCGACAAGACCTGTCTCGCTGAGCTCAGGAGCATTTCTAAGCCTGCCTAAAGCGGCAACGAGATGGCCAAGCTGGATGACTGCGACTTAAGCCACGGCAAAACCAAGGCATAACACAAACGGGCATTTTGCTTTGAAATATATCCTTATATATATATGTATATTTCAAAGCAAAATATATATATTTTATATTTATGTTTATATATATATATATAGAAATCGCAGGGGAGGAAGTTGCACGTCGCGGCAGCAAGAGGAACGACGCCCGGGGCAGTTTAACGGCGACGCCCGCGACGGTTTAACGGCCGCACGTCGGGGTTTAACGGCCGCACGCCGGGGCGCGCGCCCCTCCCCCGGCCGCGCGGGGCGGGCGGGAGGCGGCGGGGCGGGCGCGGAGG